ATACTCTTGCCCTCTCTCTGGTTTTCCAAAAATTCACAGCCCCAAACTACAAATTGGAATTTCTTGTCTGTCTAATTAAAAAATGCCTAAAGCTCTAAGAATTTCAAACCAAAATTTGTTTTAGATCCCTTATTAGGGGAGGTAAATTGATACGGAGTGAGGAAGTTGTGTGTTTTGAGAATGAAGAGCTTTTTGATTCTTTGTGATAACGCTTAGGGCGAGGAAAGATTCAGTTGTTTTTCCATGGTGTTTTTTACATCAGAGCCACAGTTCTTGACCTCTGTTCGCAGTGAACCTGTGATACAACAGAATAAGCCTTCAGGACACCCCTCAGTCCCAGGGAAAGATTAAAGAGAGGGGGTCCCTGACCCGACACTGAAAGCTCATGACGGAGAGTAGGGTAGAGCAGAGGTTGTGCTGTGCTAGGGCAGCTGGGTTACAGGCTCTTGCTCTGTGCTTGAGTTAGGGATGTTCTGCTGAGGCTGTGAGAGTTGCAGACAAGCATGAGGTCTTCACCATTACCTATCTCCACACTCAGTTGATCCGTTCTTTAATCCCCTTTCTATTCTGTTCTTTAAAAGGATTTAAAAGGATTGGGAAATAAAATGTTAATGACACAAAGCTTGAGAAATCAAGCACAAGAGCTGTTAAAGGGCCAGCTGTTTTGATTTATGCTGGTGTAAAATTGAAACTTTAATACTACTGCTGAGATCTTAACTTGGCCCATCATTTCCACCCAGGGTTGAGTTGGACACATTAAAAACACAGGCAGTTTGGTGGAGTCCCATTGGTTTACACCAGCAGCATGCTTGGGTCCATGCAGTATTTCCTATCAATGTTTTCTTTGCCATTGTTTTTACAGGACAGCGGCCATAAAATATATAAGATGTGCAATAAGATTGAGCTAACTGTGAATTTTAAAGCCTTAGAAGTGAGGAAACCCAAATGAAAGCATACCAGAGTCTTTCATATTCTTGGCTGGTTAATTCCTCTGGGCCTGATACCACATACAGTGCATGCACACATATACAGACGCATACACACATGCATCCATACTCTTGGATGCACACAAAGCCTTTAGACCTTCCCATTTCTGTTGGCAGAACTGTCCCGTTGTGCCTGCCCATAGTCCTTGCCTTGTCAGTGCTTAGATTTTACCTCTGGCCTTCAGGAAGATGGGGAGCTTTGTGGCAAGGGGACTTGAGACATCATGGTGGAGACGAAGGGAGGGAAGGGACAGAATTGTGTCAAAGGTGAAGGAGATAGAGAAAGGGAGAAAGATCTGGACTGTATTATTTTTCAGAGGGCCATGCAAACATAAAGCTGCCTCATCTTTCATATTTCAGTGCTATCTGTGAGCACACACAAACTGCAAGATGATACAGATCTGTTCATCTTTCCAGGCAGGCAGCTTTGCTTGGGGTTAGCTGGGGAGGATAGCTCAGGGCTGCCTTCCACTTGGGAGTGAAGTACAGAGACTCTAAGCCGATCTGCATGTGTGTGTCTACTCCAGACTTCCAGTGCAACGTGCCGCTGGGGATGGAGTCTGGCAGGATCTCCAACATGCAGATCAGTGCCTCCTCCACCTACTCAGATGGACGATGGACCCCTCAACAGAGCCGGCTCAACAGTGATGACAACGGCTGGACCCCCAATGTAGACAGCAACAAAGAATACCTCCAGGTACGCCCTCTTTCCCACCCCCTCGCCTCTTCCCCCACCAAATGGAGTGTCACGCTGTTAAACTGACCCTTGACCATAAGGCTTGTTGAATTTTTTATTGCCTCTCTGGCTCATGGGGAGTGAGCAGCAGGGGAGCTGCAGTCCTCCGTGAAATGCGACAGGCTGGCTCTTCCATTAGCATGCCTGCACGAGGGCTGACTCGACCTGCCCTCTCCCACCCTCTCCTTCCTGCCCAAAACCTTCATGGACTTTCCAGCATACTGACAGAGACTGAGGGACCTCTGCCACTTACAAAGGCCACTGACTTCACCACTGGCCTGAGGACCAGAGTCTCTAGGAGGCACGTGGAAAAACAACTAGAATAATATTTATCTCATCAGTGATGCAGAGAGCGTGAGCGGCCTAACGCCACGCAGGGGGCTGACAGAGCAAAGGCTTCCCCTGGGAGCTGGTTAGATCCACAGTCCCTGTCTGCACAGGGCTTCTGGCTGTGTCACATTGCCGTGAGACACTATTGCTAAATAGTGTTCCTAGGGCACTAGGAACGGGAGGTGGTGAATGTCATTGCCTCTAGCAGACATCTCATTCTTCATTCATGGCAGTGCTACCAAGCCAGCTTTGCTGACCTTTCTCAACCCACATTGCAGCAAAAAAAAAAGTGAGCAAGGGAAAACCAGGAACAGCAGCACTTGTTAATTGGACATCATGCAATAAAATAAAAACCTTACCTGGAAAAAATCAGCTTTTGTCCTGCTTTAGTGGACATGAGCTTCTGTGCAGATCCTGTTGCTTGATCTGAGGCAGGAAGAAGGCTTTCTGATGGTCCCTTGTGGATAGACATCAAGATCCTCTTGTCCCATGG